GAAATTTTGACAAAAATTTTAGGGAATTAAAAAAATCATCTGGCAACCGAGAAGCAGTCTCCGATCTTGATGCTCTGTTATTTTTCGTCACCGCACTACTCCAGGTATTGTAAACGACTTTCAGAAAACCCAAGAATCGCGGAAATACGGTTAGGTGTTTTAAATAGAAATTAAATATATAATAGCTTTATCTTTTATTTTTTTATTAATTAACAAAATATAATATAACAATATAATTCTTTTAATGGCAATATTCCCTTAAATTCCCTTAAAGGAAAGTATATTGACTTATTAAGGACAATAATATCACAAATAAACCTCCCATTTTTAATATCAAATGAAATAAACCATCCAATAAACAAAAAAGATTTTACGTGCAAAAAAATACTTTTAAGTTTTATAGCAGTTATGATTTCTCTATGATTTGTGGTTTAAAGTCGGGTTTAATAGCTTCTTTTAGCAGATCTGCATACATATCCAGCCTTTGAGTCATCTAAAATAAAATACATTATTTTGATTAAATATCATGGAAATATACCTTAACCCTTTAGCGGTTGATGATCACTGTACTAACCACCACCGTAAAGATCATAATAGTAAAAATTGACGACGTTTTAATGAAAGAATAGTCCTAATATCACTTAGGTTGGTGATAGTAGTAGAATGGTTGGTGCCCACGAGACTAGCCACTCCTTTGATTGCGCTCGCTTTTAGCAATAAGTGATCATTGTGGTGACCACCACGCGCTTGTAATGCATAAAAATTCAGCAGTTTCCAATTGTGTTATATTCGAGTGGTTGTACTACTTTTTCTAATACAAATATTGTTGAAATAATTAGTGTTTATCATTGTATGTGTATCCTAGGTTGGATTTCTAAAACGATTTTCAACATTTTGTTTACCATTTTTGCATTACAGAGAGTATAAGGTAAGCATACCATATAATTTGCGTGAGGTTAGATTTTTTATTATTATTTTAAATATGATCTAATATAATGACAAATAATAATACATAGTCATTGTAACATAGTGTATAGAAAGTATTTTTCGCTACCGTTTTGTATATGTTGTTACGGCTGAGAATATCAGGGTAAACTTGTTTGGATATAACAAATATAACTGCCGATAAAGTTTATGAACAGATCGATGGAATTACAGACGAACAAGCGGTTCACTCTGATTATGATGGAGACAGTGACGCCGAAGATACTAAAGTTACATTTTGTTCTGTTACATCTATAAGCAGTGACTGTTCAACATCTTTAGCTGGTCCAAGCACCCCTGGATGTGTTTCCACCAATGAAAAACCTGTGAGTTGGTAATCACGTTCACGTGATTACCATCAAGGCATTGGCTCTGATAGTGAACCTTATGATAATGACTATTCTATTGTTGACCCCACCTACAGCTTGGAAAATCCACCACCAAGAGGCCAATTATTGCTTGATTCTATCCTAACAGACTCAGATTCTAATACATCTGTAGAAATTACGAATTCTGTCTCATGCAACGATCCTTATGTTTTTAGAAAAGAGACATGCATTCCAACTACTTATAATCAATATAATTTCTCTTGACCGTTTGGTTCAACAATTTGCGATCTAAATAATCCCAATTTTTGAATGTGTTTTTAGACGATGTTATATTAGACAAAATTGGAATTCTGGAATCATCTCATCTACATTAATGAGGCATCTGGCTATCAAAATTCCATCACTAACGAGTTCATCGCTTTCCACAACGCCGAAATGTAGACCTTCAGGTTTTTGACTCAGTCTCGCCAGGATGATACTTTCAGAATTTTGAGGAGCCAGAGGGACAAGTGGCTCGGTGGATAGAGAGACTCCAACAGTATAACTTCGACATAGTATATAGAAAAGGGCGTCTCCATAACAATGCCGATATTTTTTCTAGGCGACCCTATTTGGAACGACAATGCCACTACTGTAAAAGACTTGAAGATAAAGAGAACATAACCGAAGAAGTAAGTCTCGAGGTAACCACATTTATACAGGAAGAAGATAATGATCAAGCTTCCCTGGAAAACCTTAAAAAGAGTCAAAAGAAAGATAATGACTTAAAAGTCATAAGAGAATGGCTTAAAAATGGAGTAAGACCTATTTGGCAGGAAATAACCAAATACAGTGGAACTATAAAAGCGTACTGGGCTCAATGGAAATCTCTGTATCTTTCCAATGGTCTCTTATATCGGAAGTCGGAAAGTCCCGATGGAGTACGTATAGATCAACAAGTGGTACTGCCGAAATCACACATTAAAAGTGTGTTGCAAGAACTTCATAGCAGCCTTTCTGGAGAACATTTTGGAGTCAAAAGAAAACTGGCCAGAGTTCGAGACAGATTTTACTGGATCAATTGTCGCCGAGATGTAGAAGATTGGTGTAGGAAATGCGATTTATGTAATGGTAAAAAAGGCCCTAAAACAAGAAGTCGTGGTAAAACGGCACAATATCTTTCCGGATAGCCTTTTGAACGACTTGCAGTGGATATTCTTGGTTCACTTCAGATGACAGAGAGAGGGAACAAGTACTTAATGGTCGCAATGGATTATTTTTCAAAATGGCCTGAAATTGTACTCCTTCCTAATCAAGAAGCGACTGCAGTAGCAGAAGCATTTATAACACACGTCGTATCAAGACATGGGAGTTCCTTTAGAGTTACATTCTGATCAAGGACGAAATTTTGAATCAGAATTATGGCAAGAATTAATGAAAATCTTGGGTATTAAGAAAACTCGCACTACGCCTCTCCATCCTCAATCAGATGGATAGTTTAATTCCTCTATTCCTGTTAGCCTATAGAAGTTACGAACATGAAGCAATTGGTTATTCTCCATCAATGATGATCACCGGAATAGAAATGAAACTTCCTCAAGATCTTATTCTCGGAAGATTGCCTCCCTGCGAAGAAGAACGTTCATGCCCGACTTACATTGAAAATTTGAAAGAAAAAGTCTACGAATTTGCTCGTAGCTTGCTGATAATTTGCTGAAGCTTCAAAGTGATAAAGCCAAGGCCAGGCTCGACATGCATGCTACTGGTACAACTTTCGCAAGAGGTAACCCAGTATGGTTATACAATCCCACGCGTAAGAAAGGACATTGTCCGAAACTTCAACGAAACTGGGAAAGCCCGTATACCGTCCTACAGAAAATAAATGATCTAATCTATCGCATCCAGTTTTCAGCTAGAAGTAAACCTAAGGTAGTTCATGTCGAGAGACTAGCTCCATACCATGGAACTGATCCACCCAGTTGGCTTCAATCGATCCCGGATAGTCCAGTTATTCGAGGCGAATAACTATAAAGGAGGAAGCAGTATTACGAAAGATTTATCCCATATAGGAAAAGTCCATTGACGAAAAAGAAGAAGTAGTTCGAGAACATTCAAGATGACATCGAAAATTCTTGAAATGTTTAGTGAAGTTTGGAACGTCAGAAAAAATATATATAACAGATGTTTTTGACAGTGGGGGGAGCAGTTGTATTTTTTGATAGTTGAAGTTTATAGTTGTCAGTCAGTTAAAAGTATTGTAATATTGTTGGCGTTGAATAAAGTTAATTTCCAAGAAGTGTAACAATACATTTGAGCGTTACTTACTTGGAATCCCCATACATCTCTTACTTGGCGACAAAGATTAAGGTCTAGTTCAGCAATGAGCAAACCGTTTCTTGTTCGTGATAAACCCTACAAAAATACAGACTTAAATTTAATATTTTAAAAAGTAAACGAAATTCACAATATTATACAAAATAATATTTGAGAACAGGCAATAGAAAAAATTTTGGAAGGAAAAATATGAAAAAAGCACAAAACGCTAGATTTCGTTATCTTTAGAACGTTTTTTAAAATAAAACTATCGGAAGGTATTAAATAAAGAAGGGGAATAAAAAGTTGATTATAATATAGTTAACAATTACTTACATGTGTTCTAGAACCATTTGGAGCTGTTACATAACTGGACCCATAAAAATGTCCAAAATCCTTATGAGCTGGTTGACCATTGCCAGACGTAAACTCATTTTGAAAAACTTCCGTACCAACTCTGTTAATAGCACAAGTATAATAAGAATTTGCTATTGCTGCATTTCTTGCTTCCACTCCCCACAAAGGTTCACTTAAACCACCAGTCTGAAACATGTTGGCCCTTGGTAGATAAATCGTACCTATTATTTTATTTATATACTTACAGTAGCTGAAGGATTGAACACAATTTCAGCACCGTTCAATGCAAACCCTAGCCAATTCAATGGATGATGTCTTCCATAACAAATGTTAATGGCAATTTTTCCAAACTCAGTCTAAAAACGTTAAATGTGACTATAAGAAAAATAATGATCAAAAAAATCTAATAAAGTGATAACATGCACATCAAAAACTCTGTTGTAGACATTACCTACCTTGAACACAGGATGGCCAGTATTTCCTTCAAAGTAATATGTAGACTCGTTAAAATCTCCTACCCTTGGGATATGGTTCTTCCTGTGTTTCCCAAGATACTCACCATGATTATCAATCACAACACAGGTATTCCAAATGGTGTCCCCATGTAGAGAATCCCTTTCTAAGATGGATGAAAGGATCACCATATTGTATCGCTTAGCAAGCTAAAAACAAATTTGGATATCATGAAAATAAAGAAGTCATAATAAACCAGAAATATATGTAGCGAATGATCCATGTTATTAAAAATAATAGTAGACCAGGAAAAAGTACTTAGATGTCTGATAAAATAAATTATAGCTTTGTTAGAAATTAAATACCTATACCGAATTTAGAGCATTTTAATTAATATTAAGATCAAGCTGAGTATTTAGGATTTTAAAGCAGTAAATGGGAGTCTACGTAAATTAAAAATATCAGGAAGTTACTGCTCGAACAAAAAAGCAGTTGAAGCAAAAAGCTAAATCCAGTTGGATCAAATGGTGCTCCAATTTAAACAAAAATACCTCTTCTAAGCAATTATGGTCACATGCCAACAGAATGAAACGAAAAACGCAGAATAGTATAAAACCGTTCAGCAATGAAGTTTTAGAGGACTTCTTTAATAAAGTTTCTCGTCCCTGGGTTCAATATTTCTCTAACCAATCCGAACAAAGTCACCAATCTAATCACTTTTTGTTGAAACCTTTTACTAAATCTGAATTAGATTTCGCTCTTAAAAATTGCAATAATACCTCCCCAGGGCTAGATCAAATCAAATACCCTATGTTAATCAACCTACCAAGAGATGCTAAAGATCTACTGTTACAGGTATTTAATGATATCATTCAAAATAACATTGTCATTGATTCATTTAAAAACGCCATTGTTGTTCCTATCATAAAGTCCGGTAAAGATCCAAATGTTGCAAATTCATACAAACCAATATCGTTACTTTCCTGTGTTTTTAAAACTCTAGAGAGACTCATAAAATTAAAAACTTAAAACTGGATTGGTGGTTACAAAACAACTCAGGACATTCGAGAGAAAAATACTGAAGAAAGTATATGGCCCGGTACAAGAGGAAGATGGCACATGGAGAATCAGGAGAAATGACGAGGTTGCACGAAAAGGATGCAAAAACAACAAAGAAAATGTTACAATGGCCCAGAACGAGATGGTTGGATGACGTGGAAGACGACCTGAAAACAATGAACATAAGACAATGGAGAAGAAGGGCACAAAAGAGATCTGAATGGAAGGACATAGCCAGACAGGCAAAGACCCATCCAGGGTTATGATGCCAAAAGAAGAAGAAAGTGGTTACAAAAAAATAATTTGCTACCAGAAAATCAGTTTGGATATAAAAGAAGCTTTGGAACACTAGATGCTCATAACAACCATTGTGGTAGATGTACAAAATAACTTAACTAGAAACAACTATTTAACAGGACTATTTTTGGATATTGAGAGAGCATACGAAACAGTTTGCTTGTCAACTTTAAGAAATAAAATGGTTAATTTATTTCATATGCCAATCGCATTCGTGGATACAATAATTGGATTTTACACAAAGAGCATCATATATGTAAGAGCATCACATATGTAATAACAAGCTAATTGGACCTCGATATAATTATCAAGGTATACCACAAGGCTCAGTTTTATCTCCAATCTTATTCAATATATACACCTCTACATAACATCCAAATAAATAACAGTTCATTCAAAATCGTACAGTATGCCGACGATTTCTGCATCTATACAGAAAACAAAAAATATGAAACATGTATTCAAAGCCTTAGAAAAGTATGTAAATCTCCTTTTTCATGGTTCTTAGAGAATGGTCTCAATTTATCTATAGAAAAATCAGTAGTATCTATCTTCACAAGACATAACATTTCTACAAATGAAAATATCATTCTGAACGATCAATGTTTTAAGCTTCAAAATCATGTCAAATATCTAGGCCTTATGTTGGATAAGAAGTTAACTTGGAGACAACACATAGAGTACATGCTTGATAGATAACAATAATTGTAACAAAGGCAGCAATTTCCTCAGAATGACAACTAAAACGTGATGGGGTTGTGATGTAGGAACATCCTTGTGGTTTTATCGCGCTTATATACGATCTATTCTAAATTATGGTGCTACTCTTTATGGTTCCGCCTCCAAGAACCTTTTAAGAAAAATTGAGACGTTTCTAAATTCTATTATGAGGGTATGTTTGGGTGCTATGAGATCAACCCCTATACAACCCTTATATGTTGAAGCCGCTGAGCTACCATTTGAAAATAGAAGAAACTTTTTAAGTGAAAAAAGCCTTCTTAAAATTTTATTAACTAACTCCCAGTTATTCTCAAGCGTCCGTCAACTTAACGAGGCAGATCTTACAAACAAATATTTGGAGAAAAAACCTTCCCCGCTTTTATGCATGGCATTACAGAATAATCCTATTTTTTTGAAGAAATTGCACATGGTTGACAGAAGCTTAGACTACTTCTCTTTATTCCACAGAACTGAGGTTCCCACTTATAGTAAGAAAACCATTATGAGTAGCAATCTTCTAATATCTCTACTGCAGGGTTACAGTAATATACACGGACGCATCAAAAACAACAGAAGGGACTGGATGCGCATACTTTTTACCTGCTACAAACGTAGAATTCCAGTATAAATTACCAAATGAATTTTCAATCTTCTCAGCGGAATCAATAGCTATACTTGAAGCTCTAAAATATGTTAAAAACACCTGCAATAGACATATTTTAATTCAGTCAGATTGCCTTTCAGTTTTGCAGAGCATAAAAAACATTGAATTGCCCTCAACATTTGGCAATCCCTACATATTTGAAATAAAAGATCGATTGTACCATTTATCATCGACTGGAGTCAACATACAATTTATTTGGGTCAAAGCACATATTGGTCTCAAACATAATGAATATCTAGATCATGTAGCTAAAATGAGTGTAACAACTGGCTCTACGTTGATATATATGCTTAATACATCAAATGTTACTACGATTTTCAAAAAAAATCAGCAATTTAGTTGGAAAGAGCAATGGAAACATTACTGTTCTACAAACCATAAAAGGTATACTCTTTACAACCAAACAACCTGGTTTCATAATTTCAAAGCTCCTCGTAAATATATTACTACTATAAATCTACTACGCTTTGGACATGCATGCTACCCATGCCATTTATTTAAAATGTCATCGATGATGATAGTTGCAAACATTGCGGTAAGCTAGATGACCTCGATCACATCTTCTTTGAATGTCCTTTTATTCAGCATTCAAACTCCCTGTATACAAAATTAACTAAATGCAATATATACGCCCCATATAATATACAGTCCTTGTTAGCCATAGGTTCTGTAACAATCTTCTTCTTAAAGTGCCTATCCGTTCCGGATGTTGGCGATCATCACGGCTAACTTTACTTTGTTTACTGCAGCGCGCAACAGTTCAGTGGTAGTCGTGTTATACCACTTAAGTAAATTTTGAAGCCAGGAAATGCGTCTTCTTCCCGGTCCTCTCTTACCATTTACCTTCCCTTGGAGAATCAGCTGGAGAAGGCCGTAACGTTCTTGATTTCTCATTACATGTCCTAGATATTCCAACTTTTTAGTTTTGACGGTCATGAGAATTTCGCATTATTGTAACAATATATAATTTAATTATAGAATTTTTGTCAGACATATGCATAGCTTTATAAATCTGGTACTCGTTCATGAAAACTTTCATGAGCGTGTATAGGGTTAGACTTGTACCCTTTGTTTATCCTATATGTAACAATACCTTCTCCGTGGTCCAGTATTGTTTGTCTGTTAAAATAAATGTCTTGACGGACCCCTTGTATTTTCCTTCGACGTGTTCTATTAATTATTCGTCTATTTCGTTTTAGGGATATCGCTGTGCATTTGTCTGAGAGAAATAATCTGTACTTATGTGTATATACTTTCTTGAGGAATATATTATAATCTTTCGAGACTGGCTGAATGACGAGTATATGCCACAAAAAAAAATTAAAAATAAAAACAACATTTTTTGCCTCTCTTATTAATTCTACAGCCCGACAGAAAAATACGAATCAAGAATAAAACATAAAGCATGAAATACCTCATGAAGAGCCCTTTATTCTTATGGGTGACTTTAATGCACGAATCGGAAATGAAATAGTTCCAGGAATAAAACAAAGATTTGATGAAAACCATGTCAACGCAAATGGAGAAATCATGGCTAATCTCTATGCTTTTAACGAATTAAGAATCAATAGGTCATTTTTCGACCATAGGCTCCAGTATAAATATACATTTGAAAACTCCAGGGGGCATAAATCTATGATTTATGTAATAGTCACTAATAGAAAAATTCACCCAAAGCAAATTCTGGGTATCCGAACTTTAAACTCAGTAGACGCAGGGAATGAAAGATAAGAATGAAAATACCACCAAAACAAAATTTTTTACAGGAAATCATTGAGGAAAAATTCAATGTAGAATCACTGTGGAACGACTCTACAGGAGAAATGTACCAAAAGAGGCTAGCACAGAAGATACAGCTGAAACAAATAAACAACATCGAAGATATAAACGCGCGCTGGGAGAAAATTAAAAACATTGAAGAAGCAGCAACAGAAGCTCTAGTAAAACGCAAAGTCATACTGAACAAAAGAAACAACAACAATACACCATGGTTCAGAAAAGAAATAAAAGAGAAATGTAAAGAGCAATGTAATGAGAAACGAGAGGCCTACCCGAAGTACAAAACATCAAATACCCCAGAATCCCGAGACAACTATTGAAGAATACGAATTGAAACAAAGTAGTTGGTAAGAAGAACAAAAAATGAACACTGGGAACAGTTTACAAAAAGGATGGAAAATCACTTCTACGGTACACAAAAACAAATATGGAGATTCAAAAGAAACCAACGGAAAGAAATGGCAGAATTGAAGGAATACAATAACATACCAGCAAACGAATGGGAAAGATACCTGAAGGAATTGTTTAAAGCAAAGGAAAATAATAATCAACACAATAACGTAACTGAATTAAGACACGAAATTGAAATCAGTTTTCAGGAAGTAGAAATAGCCATAAATTCACTCAAAATCAGAAAGTCACCAGGATCAGACGGAATAACCAACGAGCTTCTGAAACACGGAGGTGAAAGTATAACCCTAGAGAAGTCGAAGACGTCTTACACCTACTGTATAAAAGAAACATACCAATCAATATCATACAAACCATCGAAAACATCTACCTCCATAATCGAATACAGACAATGATAAATGGAAAACTATAACAGTGTATACCAGTACAAAGCGGAGTCAGACAGGGTGACTCGTTAAACACACTTCTCTTTAATATAATAATGGACGAAATAATACAAGCAGTACGTAAAGGTCATGACTATATAATGGGAAACAAAGAAATCCAAATATTATGTTATGCAGATGACGCCGCATTAGTCGCCGAGACAGAAGACGAGCTCCAAAGATTAACACATATCTTCAATACAACAGCTAAGAAATAAAATATGATAATATCAGCAGAAAAAACCAAATGCATGACACCATCTAAATACCCACTACGGTATAAAATCGAAATTGATGGGAAAATAATAAAGCAGGAAGCAAGGTTTAGATATCTGGGAATAGATATAACTAGCTGCAGAGATTTTGAAGAAGAAGTACGACAACAAAGCTTAAAAGCAAGTAAAGCAGCGGGATATATTAACGACACAATCTGGAAACAAACACCTAAGACAAGACACAAAAACAAGACAAGACCTGATACATCTAAAACGAGACGACTACTAGAAACAACAGAGATGAAAATATTCCGACGAATATCAGAGAAAAGTCTGTTGGATAGGGAGAGAACCGAAAACATAAGAAGAGCATGCAATATAGAAGACATAAATGGATGTTTGACAAAACGAAAACAGGAGTGGAACGAACACATCAGTAGAATGGAAGAGGATATAATAGTACGAATAGCACGAGATAAGTCACTAAATGGACGTAGAAGTATTGTCAGACCAAGAAAAAGATGGTGCGACAATTTAAACAATTTAGGAGGCTAATATTGAAGAAGAAACAGGCTTTAAAGCCTACATACAAGAAGGAGGATGAAGAAGAAGAAAAATAAAACATGAGATCCGTTGACAAATAGAAAAATTATATGATAATTCTTCAAGTAATAGATATAATATATTTTATAGTAGACTTCAAATATATGCACCGACTGCAGATAGGAAATATGGCGATGAAGTCGAAAAGCTCTATGATTAAATCCTAGACATCTAACGGAAGCTTAATACAGACGAAATTTTATATATTCTAGGTGACGCCGACATTAATAAGATCAGAAAGACACCCCTGCATCTTCAATCAGATAGAATGGTCGAAAGGATGAACCGAACGATGGGTAAACACCTGTCCAACGTTGTATCAGAACGTCAAAGAGATTGGGACCAGCAAATTCATTTATTCCTAACGGCCTACCGCTTGGCCGTGAATGAAACTACAGGCCAGACTCCAACCTGTCTGATGTTAGGTCGTGAAGTCCGTTTGCACAGCGACTTAGAGTTTGGCTGCAGACCTTCAGAAGAATATGTTGCAAGCGAAGAATATGTCGACCGCCTGAAGTTAAGGATGAACAACATTCATGAACTTGCCCGACAACACATCCAGTTAGCCAGTGACATAATGAAATATCAATATGATTTTCGAAGCATGAATGAAAACTTTGAAGTAGGTGATCTCATTTGGCTGGCTTTATAATGTACAACGTCGTCGAAACTTGTCTCTTAAACCGCAAAGACAATGGGAAGGTCCGTATGAAATTGAAAAGAGAATAAATTACGTTATATACCGAATTAAGAGTTGCCGAAAGGTAAACCAAAAGTGGTTCACATAAATCGTCTTGCACCTTATGCTGGGCTCAAATGAAACAGAAGCAGCACAAACCCTTCAACATGAGATAAAAGGTGACCGGCGATGAAGCTTTATTGAATATATTTATGTCAAATTACGCAGATAGAAAGAGTGCTAGATTCGGCGTGACCACGGAAGTTCAGCAGGGTATTTTTAGTGTTCCGCGTAACGTCTCTCTAGCACAATGTGTTGCTAAAGACCTTAAGATGAATAAAGGAATCTCGTCCGTATTCTATAAGAAGTTCGGTCGTTTGAACGAGTTAAAAAATCAGCAGCCTAAAGTTGGAAGAGTACTGAGATTAGAAGATGGTCCTCGATCTTTGCTGTATATGGTGACGAGGTCATATACAGACAAGGTAAGCTACGAGGATATATGGCGTGCTCTAACTAATTTGAAGAAAATCGTGTGCAATTATGACATCAAGAATTTGGCCTTACCCAAGATAGGTCATGCACTAGAAAATCTGGATTGGAAGATTGTTAGAAGCATGCTTAAAATGACATTTCGAGAAACCGGCGTACGAATTACCGTGTGTTGCATTAACTCGAAGGGATAGTGTCCTTCAAAGTCAGTAGACTGTTATTATTTCTTCTTGAGGGGCTCATGTAGAGCTGGAGAGTTCTGTAGATCTCGCCAAATTGGGCCTTCATGTAAAGTTGCTGATCGGGACTCTCAGATCTAAGAGGGGAGCAGTGTAACGAAAAAACTTATT